TTGATCACTGTTAATATTTATTTATCAAAAAAACAAATAGGTAAATTTTTCCAAAAATTTGATTTTGAACAACTATTTTTCGACGAATGAATTTAAATTCCATACAAATAATTTAGTAAAATATTGATTAAAATTAATGAAATGAAATATTTATTTAAAAACTCTAAGAAATCTAGCAAATTTCAAAATGTTAGAAATAATTGGTCTTATTTTTTAAATTCTAATTAGGATTAAAAGTAAAATTTCTTTTTCTTTGTATGGGAAAACTTAATTACTTGTCATTTTTAGTCGCAAAATTTTCGTTATTTTCGTGTCCCAACAATAACTAATTTTTTAAAAAAAAATTGTATAAAGTATTTAAAACATTATTTAATTCATTTAATTATTTAACTTTTTCGAAAATAAAACCAGTGTCTTTTCTAATAAAACATTTTTAAAACATTTTATTATATAATAAATGATACTTCATGACTGGTAATTAATTGTCCAGTGTACTTACTTTTCGACGATAAATACTAGCCATCCCTAGAAAATATTTGTCGATAAATTCAAAAGCATATTAAAACTTTTTTTTAAGTAATCAAGATTAATTTGTTTCTTTTATGGCATTTTTCATTTATTTAAACAAAGCAAACACTTAGGCATATAGGATCTTCAATTTTACTTTTTCAGGTCACTAAATTAGTTTATGGAAAAAAATAAAACCTTTAGTAGAGGCATCATTTTTTTTCTTTGTATGTATTAAGTTATTATGAAAATGAGACGAGAAATATGGACAGTTCATGTTTATTTTTTATTTGATTAAAATTCAACATTAGCTTATTTAAGAAAAAAACGAAATAAAATGTTGCATGTTTAAAAAAATACACGAGTTTGCCGATATATGGTTTGTTGAATCGTTATATAGTTTGTGGTGATGCATAAATTTCCGTAATAAAGTAACATTTTGTAGTAAATTAACATTTTAAATGAAATTTCATTTTTCAACAAGATTGGTTTCAACAATTTGGTTGCCTGAATTCGTAGTATAGACATAAAATTTTAATGTGCTAAGACTGAAACCTATATTGTAATAACGATTATCCTGCCGCTCTAAGAGAGAGAACAATATCTCCAAGAGAATACTTTCTTGATAAAGGTGGAAATGTTAAGAGTTGTGCCTTATAATTTGCGTGAACTTTAATTTCACTCTCTATTAATGCAAGAAAAAAAAATGATCTAAATTCCAAAATGAAAAAAATAATAATTCCATACTAAATATGGGATAAGAACGAAACCGTGCTAAACACTTTACGAAAATTTCAGGAATTTATTTGTATTATTGTATTTGCAATATCTGTTTTTTTTTTTTTTTTTTTTTTTTNTTTTTTTTTTTTTTTTTTTTTTTTTTTTTTTTTTTTTTTTTTTTTTTTAATGGCATTCTGCTCTAACCCAATTGTTAAATTGCCATGCGCAGGTTTAAAGGGTAAAAATATTAAACAATATGACATACAAAAAAAATCAAAAGTTACTCACCTAAGAAATGTTTTATAGAAATTTTAAAAGTAACTACAGGTATGGGTTTTCGTGAATGGGTTTTTTGAAAATCTTTTCATTAGTGATTATGATGTTGCGCAGACGAATAAAATTATGTAAAACTTGTAGAACCACACAGCAAGATATCCAGAACTGTTGATTAGAAACTTAGTATGGTGGCAAATTATAAATTTTATATGGTCGAAAATTTCCCTTGAGTTGTAGTCCGGGAGTTGCAACGGAGTATGATTATATATATACGTTACGGTGAAACACCGAAATCTGGAGAATGTCGACATTCACCGGTGAATGTCAACATTCACGTAGTCGCTTGGTGTATGTCCGAAATATATGCTAAATACCCTTATTTCTGACTCGCACCGGTGAATGTCAACAATCACATAGTCGCTTTGGTGAATGTCCGAAATATTTGTTATATCCAATTTTATATTAATTTATTCGTTAATATTATTATATTTATTTGATATATTTATATTTATTCCATATTTTAATACTTACTGACGATAGATTAGAAGAAACATCAGTGATTGGAGTATCGGGCAAATATATACCGGTCAATGGCACTTTAACTTAAAAAAGCATCAGTGTAGGGTATACCGTGCAAATGTATACCGGGCAGTGGCACTTAACCTTAAAAAAAACATCAGTGTAGGGTATACCGGACAAATGTATACTGGGCAGTGGTACTTAACTTTAAAAAAATATGTGTGTAGGGTTAAAATATCGAATAAATGTAATTATATCCACGAATAAATTCATATCAAATCGAATGTAATAAATAATTCGGATATTCACCAAAGCATATCTGTGATTGTCGACATACACCGGTGAGGGTCCGAATGTACAAGAATGTAATGAAATATTCGATCTTTCACCGACGTATTTGGGGTTTGTCGACATTCACCGGTGAAAGTCAACAACCACCGATTTCGGTCTTTCGCCATGACACATATATTTTATGATTATATATATATATATAATCATAAAAGATTAATACAATTTCCTTTATATATATCTTTATTCCATTTGTACACAATGGAATAGAATTAGCAAGAGATGTAATGATAAATATTGATTAATGTCAGAATTCAAATTTGTGCTTAAATAAATAAGCTTTAAAAAATTTGCACATTATACGTAAACTGAGTAAAATTCATAATTATTGATACATAATAACATATTTAATTTTAAATAATTCAAAATCCAATAATTTGGATCCTAAGGTAGTCTACTTTAATGCGTGTATGCTTCAAAAGTAAAAGTAAAGCCAACAACGTATTGTGTTCTGATGAAAGTCCAATTAATGACAAATATCACGTTTCAAAGCAATTGAAAGTTCAAAATACGTTTTATGTAATGGGTGCAGAATACAGACAGAAATTACATACAACAACAATATTTCCAGATTTTTTTTTATACGCAAAGAAAAAAAATCGCATGGAATGTTAAATAATATATAACGAAAATGCCAGTTTTATTTTTTTTTCTTTAAATTTATCTCCATCCAGTCTTTTCCATCTCGAATTTACAAGATTTGTCCTTCGCTGATTAGTCTTTTGGGTCCTTTGAAAGAAAACACTAAGCTATTTACAGTCAGCAAATATGATGCGCCATCTCAAGCTATCAACACTTTGGCTTGAGTCACTTTGAGACACGATGCGTCAGTATCATAATGCGTCATAAATAATGGTCAGCTGAAATATGCAAGAAAGAAAGTGGTGAAGATTGCCACACTCTTCACCGATAAACTCAGCATCATGTCCCAATCTGAAAGAAAAACTAAGTCTTTATAAAAGAAATAATCAACTAAAAGGCTTTGAATTACGGTAAAGAAAAGTTAAACACTGTTTTTGCTTAAGAAAATTACTTTTTCTAATTTAAAAAGAATGGATATCGTGTAGGGGGAAAAACTAGATTAGCCTGGCAACAGTTTTGAACTACTTAGGAACTTTTCAAACTTTAATTCTTTTTGATGTAAGAAAAAGTATTTCTCGACTAAAATACTATTAAAACTAAAATTAAATTTCGTTAAATTGTTTAAAAATTGATGAAATATTGCACGCAAGGGACAGTGTTAATAACCTTTAAAGTCTTTGACGTTCAAGTTTCGTTGATAAAAATTCTATTTTGCTAAATTCCACACGTGCCCTTCTAGGATTCAGAATGTTTTAAGAGTGAAAACTCTTAGAAATTTAACATAAAAAAAATTAGTTAAAATACTGAAATTAATTGGGTAAAATAATTAGAGATGTATTAAATACTTTAGATTAAGATTCAAACCTTCTTCATGCGTATTATTTGAAGATCAAGAGTCCCTCATATAACAACGGCTAATGTCTATTTTTCACAAAAATAACGATTGGATCGCCATCTGTTGCTATTTGAGGATTACTAAGTTTTGGCAAATCAATAACATGGGAAATTGGTTCATCTCAAGAGTAAATTGTACAGTGGATTTTGTCAGCCTTGAAATTCGTTTTTTCCCCTCGAAATCAGCTGTCATAGACAGTCCCCAGAATATATTTATTTTAATTAAATATTTAAATAAAAAAATGTGTTTATGGCTTATTTAATAGAATATATTTTTTATTAGTATGTTTTTTTCATATATTGCTCTGTAGTTAAGTCTTACACTATTAGCAATTTTACAAACGATTAAATTTAACTTTTAGTTATTGAAGTTTAAATGTAGCGAAAATAAACACCATCAATAGAAATATTATAGTGTGAGTGCAAAAATATATAACGTTTTCATGAAGTATGTGTAACTTTTTGAAGTCATCACAATAAAACAAAGAATAAGTTTCAATTCACAAATTAGAATCAGAAAATGAAAAATTTTAATAACCTTTAGAGTTCATCCTAAGGTCCCTTTCAGTATATCATTTTAGTTGTTATCTATTCCTAAATTACACTGATGATCTACATTTCGTTATTGATAATTTATGTTAAAAAAATGTAGCATTTGAATGGGCAAAATCGAAGAGAGAGGCAAAAGACCAACCTCTCAACTGAGTATTCAAATTTAAAGTTAAGTAAAATAGTAACCAACGCTTCATACTTCGTACTTTTGGGAGATACCTATTGGCACTTTATCTGAAGTAAGCCTTACCAAAAGCGAAGCCGATTGACCCAATTCCTCTCTCTCTGTACTCTGTTGTAAATTAAGGAAATACCATTGCGGTATAGGAGTTAAGTAATTATCCATGATTGCTTATAGTTCAATTTGCTTTCCTTATTAAATGATACAAATATGCTTTCAAAAATATATGAGAGCTTTTAAAAGTTAGTACAGAAATTTAATTTGTGCAATCTTTTACGATACATATATTATAGGATTAACAAAAAAAGGTTATAGTTTCGTAGACTTTAAGAAGTACTAGATTTGACGACACAGTTCGATAAATAAATAGAACATTTGTTCTTGGAAAAGAAACAACTAAATGAGGTTACAAGAGCATTGGATTTGATTGGACCACTAAAAATGGCCCGTCTTATACTGACATGCCCCTAACGCGAGTTGAGGAATTTTTCCTTCTGTTTCGATGTAGAAAAAAAATCGTGTGCACGAAACAATATTATTCTTTCATCAGTTTCTTTAATTGCGAACAGAAAGCATTATTTAAATTTGACGAAACTCTCTAATTTTACGGGAAATAAAACAATAGCTTTTATTCAATTAGTTTTGTTTCCCTCATTTCACGTGATTTAAGAAAGAATGTAAAAAGAAGAGTGTATACGTTTGCGCTTAGGGCTTCGACATTCATTTAACGTGCGCTTAGATGCTGGCAGACTCTTTCTATGGGGATAACCTTTTATTCTTAATTTTACAACAGAGTATGACGTTAATGTTTTAATTATTTGGCAAAGAAATAAGTTCCGAAAATTCATTATGGAATTAAAAAAACCCTATAGCGTATTAAGCTAATAGTTAAAAAAAACAAGATTAAAAACAGGTTTTAGATATCTGGTGTTTCGAAATTGAAAATTTTATTGGCTTCAAAACTTATTGGCACTCACTCATTATGTGTGATTGAATAAAAATTAACTCTTTTATTTATCGAAAAAGCCATTATTACATATTAATACAGATTTAAGAAATAAAATACACTAAAAAGGTAGAGAATATGTAATACCAGAATAGCATAACACACTAATCTAAAAGCTGTAAGATTAGAAATATTTAACTTTTGATTTAATTTTTCCGTAACTCAAGGCACAAAATAATTTTATGACTAGTTTATTAAACGTCTATTTTCTTAGCTTCATAAGTACAGTTGAATAGCTATTTAAATCTGTTGATTTACTGCTGGGCACAAAAATGATCCTCGTTTTGAAAAAAAATAGCTAAAGGGAAACAAATGAAAACAGAAATGTATGGTTTATTCACAAAGTAAATATCTGGGAAAGGAATAATTTATTCTCTCCAAATTTCAACAAATATTGTTCTCAGACTTCGCCATATTAATACTACAAATTATGCTAATTTTGAAAACATAGATTATTGGAAACGTGACATTGTAAAATTATGTATTTTTAACCTCATAAAAAATCAATGACATTCGTTTAAACGATTGTAAATTAGAATTCTGAGTAATATTGAAGTTAGCTGTGTAATTTTAATATGCATTATTAATCTATAGAAAAACTTTTAATCTAATTAGAAAGAAAACTTAAAGCAAATTAAACAACAATTGTCGTGTTAGTAACACTTGTTACAACTAACATAATAATTAGGCATATTATCTGTTTCCGCCAAACATTCGAGTTCAGTATTTTATTTTAAATTTATATCTTTCGTTGAACAACCAATCCAATTTTTTTGAGTTTACGTCAAGGAATTTTCAACTCCGTAGCCTTGTATTTACTCTAAATCCCATTGATCCGTTAAGTCAACAAACTTCATTCCAATAAAATATTGCTGGGGTGATATTTAAATTCATATTTAAATATAATCTAGATCTACTCCCATCTAGGAACATTATTCGAAAGTTCTAATGGAAAATTCTTTCCGCCAATTATCAACATCTCGCTGAGTCTGTGTTACAAAAAATAAAGGCTGCATTAGAAAGAGTTCAAAAAAATGGATGAAACAAAATATTGATGAAGATCATAACATAGTAGCAGCTCAGTGTATTGAAATTATAATCTCCAACATCAGCGCAAAATATCAGATGTCTTGAGTGCTTACCCCATCCAATATTTTTTTAAAAGATAAAAAGTAACACTTACGAAAAATGGATGCAATGCTATATAAAATATAATATTTTAATAACGTCTAAAATAGTTGAAATAGTTTGAAATTATTTTAAGTCTAAAATCATATACCGTAGTCATTTTTTTTCCTTTTCTTAAAATGAAGTATGTCTAGATTTAAGAGACCAATAAAAAAAAAACGTAAGTTCTTCATTTTCTTTTAAGTAAATCAACGAATTTTTAGTGTTGTTACTTAAGATCTGAAAAATAGATATTTTAAACAAACATTTCAACGGAAGTAACGTTTTAAGTACTCATATATAACTCACATTATCAAACAAATTTGAAAGATTTTATTTCTATTTTTATTCTAGTCTTTTCATCAACTAAACAGCTTTTAAACACATTTTTTTTAATTATTCAATCTGCACAGTTTAGTTCTACTAATTTATATTTAAATTATCATTTGATGTCAAACACTTCCTAATTAAGTCGCTTTAAAATAGCCTTAATAGTGTAAGGAATTCATTCCCTAGAAACAAGTAGGATTTGAAATAGCCTTAAGTCATGGGAGGAATGAGCCACTTGATTAAATTGCCATCTTAACGACCAATACTGAATTTAATGAACAAAATTCATCTACTTGAGTCGTCTCTAAGCGACATAAGTGGTTTGCTTGCCCAAAGGTACATCTTGTAAATTTTATAAATCTACTGTTCCGTGAATGGTGACATGATTTTGGAAGGATGACGAACCATTGAAATCGAAGTATTGCTAATAAGAATTTAATAATGGAAATTGCTTGTTCATTAAAGATAAATTTCAATAAGAATTTTGAAGATATTGAAGTGTTTCTTATTCAAACATAAATTACCTATTTTTATAACTTCGAACCGCAGGTTAATATATTAAATAACGATTGAGATTTAAATATACATTAGTTTAAAATAGAGGAAATTTTCAGATTTGGTTGGTTATAACCAAAACTGTTGGGCAGAAATTAATAAAATCTGGTGACAACAAGAGCGAATATAAAAATAAGCGAATAATTTGGTCTTTCACTAGGTTTAATAGACACGCATGGCTTTTCAAAATACATCTCAGAGAAATATATGAAACAATAGTTAAGGGGTATGACCCATTCTTACTCTTATGTAGATTTAACTACGTAATTTCATGCTGGTAGTAACACAGTTTAGAAGTTGCTTTGTATCAAATTTTCCTTTCTAAACAGCAATACTGCTATCTAACGCTTGATGGATTTCGAAAAGGGATTGCGATTTTTAGTTTCCCTCCTCAGATTTCCTCAGGCAAGTTCCATAGTGAGGATATCAAAATAACTGCTTGACTAATCTATCCGCCACCCATTTTCATTTTCCAGAAATCCGTCGATCAAATGAGATATTTGTAACCATTCGTTGTCGTTCTTCAAAAAGAAATCAGAAGACCTGCATTCCTGAAGTGTGAATGAAGGACACTAATATTTTATCCAAAGAATATACATAGGAAAGAAGGCTAATTTCCATAGACATAATGTTAACCTGCACCCCAAGGGTTGGTACGGTCTCCGTGAATAAAGGAGAATGCAGCATTTAGAGGGACATCAGCAGGGGATTATCTTCAAACAGGTTTGAACCCAACTCTCCACCAACCACTGCCGGAATTAGGAATGAGAAGGAACTTCTTTCTTTTTGGTTCGTTTTCCTTATGGCTACATTTTCGCCCTATTTATTAACAGTACTGTACGTTTACCATGATATTTCTTTAAGTACATTTACATCATCGATGTTTATTATATCTGCTAGAACATTCAGCGATATATCATTTTGTAGTAGATCAAAAGAATTAAATGGTGATTATCTTAAGGCTATGCTTCCAATCAACAATAACCGGTTCAGGTGACAGTTTGCTTTAAATGCGCATGCGCTGAATCTTAATACATATAACACTCTGTTAATAAAAGTATGTTCTTCGCCTTGTAAGTTTTTCTTCTTAGTGTAGAGTCTCGTACCGAGGAATTTCTGAGGAAACATCTTTTCCTTTCTATATCCTTTACTTTATCTCTATAACTTTTCGCAGATAATTGTAATGTGTTGTTCACCTGGAGTGATCCCATAACCCTAAATGAATAAGTTGTTTGATGCAGCGTCAGCTCAATAAGCTGTATAGGAAACAAACTGTTGTGAGCTACTATGTTTTACTATAATTTTCGGCTATGGCTGCGAGCTTCTAATATTTACTATTATCTAATTTTCATTCCAATGTTTTAACTACCGAGTCACATTTTATTTGTTTACCAAGCTTCACTAATCAGAGAATCGAATGATAAACAGTTTTTTCATAGTTCCATATTCTTAACTTACGCTTACAAGAATGAGAAAATAATAAAGTTACACAATATAGTAAAAATCCATTCAACTTGTTCAAAGTGAAAAATTATTACGCATTTCTATTTCCTTTAATTTAATTTGATGTGAGAAGCTTTATCCTGGGATTATTAATCTGAAGTGTCATACCGTCCACCAACTATAAATCAGAAGCGTTCCACCTATTAAACATCACATTTTCAAATCTTGTCGTTGTAGACAGGCTGCATATTTCGGCTACTTACTACGGGATCTGCTAATGGTAATTTTTGAAGAGGTTAATTTAATATTTATAACCTTTCCTCTGAAAGAGTTATTCACGTCCACTCTCTCACGAGATAATGATGAACGAGCTTAATGCTGAATACCCTCTGATTAATGAATTCTACACTGCAGTTGCTTAAGCAAGTTACAGATTTAAGTTCTTATTTCTTAAGCAACTACTTAAGTAATAATACTTTTAAAGTTTCCTCGCTTAATAAGCATTAAAAGTTTTCTTAAACGTTGAAAAGTTTGAATTACTACTTTTATATAACGATGAGTTACGTTCTTTGTGGTATTCAGGTTGGATTTTCATTGCATTTAGAATATTAAATTTAATATTTAAATGAGTATATTTCTATACTTTTTTTTTTGCTCAGTTTTAAATTATAAGGTTTACAAAATGCTTAGATTCTTAAAAAACACAATAAGAAAGTCTTAGTACATGTATTTCAAATTCTATAATTACGTTTCCCTTTGAATCCTGAAGCAAAACAACGCTACCGGTAGCATGAACCCTCAAGCACGGCAACGGGCTCTGCAGATTAAATTTAATCCTTTGTTTACTTTGTATTTTTTTAAAAAAATTACAAACAAATAGGGAGGGGGATTGCTGAGACTCCTTTTTAAAACGTCTCTAAACTTGTAAAAATAAAAATTAAGGAAGAAATAAAATAAATAAATTGAGAGAACACCGCAAAGAAAGAATGAAAAAGATTTTTTTTCCCTTCTGCTACTACTACTTGATTAGAGCCTTAACTGTATTCTTCCCTTTTTATTATCATTGTATAAAATTCACCCGTAAATTCTGCTCTCGGGGCCACGCTGTAATAAAAAATATCTACACCCTGCTACTAAATTTTTTAAAGATCTTTCTAATTTTTTTTTCTTAACTTAATGTTGGGGTAGGTTTCTAATACTCTTCTTCTTGTTCTACAATATTGGCTCTTAAGCTCAATACTGTTTAGGTGCGAATATGTAATTATCCTATTTTAATATGCATTATTAGCATATTTTAATAGAAAATAATTAATTTACTTATTTGAGCCGTGATGGATCAGGGGAATAGAGAGTTCACCTTCCATTCAGGTGAACCAAGTTCGAATCCCAGTCATGGCTGGTCAGTACAAATCCCGCATCCAGCTTGCACTGACCACAGTGCTGACGTAAAATATCCTCAGTGGTAGACTGATCATGGGTTAGAGTCCCGTTATCGTTAGGCTAAACGTGAGAGGTTTTCCTTTCCATGTAGGGAAAATGCTGGTCAGTTCTTTCAAGGAGTCCACCAGGCAAGCAAATTTTTTTCTAATACTTAAACCAGGAGTTCCCTTGTCTTTTCGATTAGGTTCAAAACTACAAGGCTACGGAGTTGAACATTGGTAGTCGCAAACTCAAAAAATGCTGTTGGCTGTTCAACGACGGTTTTGAAATGAAATATATTTAACATATTTAGCGTATTGATCTCGAACCATTAAGATTGAATCCTAATTAGTGAATGTCCGTTCATTGGATCAAAAAATATTTTTCGTTTTTCACACAGTGGGCATTAATTTTACGGACAAAGGTAATCCTTTTCGAATTACTGAAAATTTATTGTATATTTGTAATAGTTTGAAACAAAATAACGGAAGCTTTATATTTATTTAAAAAATAAATCACTCAAAAATTTGTGTAATTGTTCAGTATGGAATAAGTGGGGGAAAATGAATTTTCATGCATGTATGGAAAGCATGTTCATTGAAGAATAGAGATCTGCACTACGTTTTTTTTTTCTTCACAAAATAGGAGATGTATTAAATTTGTCATTATCATGCTTGAATTTTACAAATGCTTTGTTTGTTCACATTATGGCTTTCGATATTTTTTTTCTATGATTTCTTAATAAATAAGCTGCAAAAGATGTAAAAGTATATAAATTTTTCCTTTTTAAAAAGTAAATTTTCATTAGAAAACATGTAATCCAACTACATTTAAAAAATAGAAATTTTTCTCTTTTTAGATGAAGTTCTTTTTTTAAGAAAAAATTTACTTTTAAAATATCGAAAAACATATTTTACCCAACAAGCAGCATGTATTATTAAAAGAATTTTTTAAAATGTTATAAACAATAAAGTAAAATTTAGTTGAGTATTATATTGTTACAAATCGTAGATAAATTATACTTACTTTTTTATTATGAAAATTAATAAACAGTTTTAATACAGTATCTAGAAGAAAGCTTTATATCTTTAATCTTCAAGGTTTTATTTCCGTCTTAGTCTGCGCTTCTCTAATTAACTTAGTAGTTGAGGTGGTAAAATGTAACCTAGTTTTCTTAGTTTTGATTTCTAATGCATGTGCAAAATAATCTTCCAAAAATTTCATGTGAGAAATCGAGCTTCGATTAGGAAAAAAAACGTGTATATGCATACTTACTTAAAGAAACAATGGAAAAAAATAACAGTTACAATAAAAATACGATTTTACTTACTTATTTTTCGTATAAAAATGTTTCTGTACAATACAGAGACATCATACATGTCAATGAGTGGAATTGGCAATAAATAAATTTTAATTTATATATATATGAAAAAAACAACATTTTTATATGTTACTTACCTTATCAGGAGTAATTGCATTTCGTAGGAAATTTTAAAAGTACTTACGCTTGCTCTTAGAAATCAAGTACTTAATTAAAAAAAAAATCTAACAAACCTGCTGCAGAATTAGATAAAACGTGGAATCCAGAAGTTCTCTGTGGCCCCACGGGGATTGTCTCTACCGTCATCATTTTAACAACTTTTGCCAACGTTGCTGTGCATTTTAATCGCATTTCTTCACTTCTGAAATGGTCTTCTTGAACACGAAATCGAAGCCCAAGCTTTGTAGAAGACAAACCATCTGGATATACAGTCGGAACATATGGTGAGAGAAATTCTGGCTTTACCTAAAGTGAGTATAAGAGTCAACTTTCCAATCATTTATCCGAAAGATATTAGTTCACTTACGAGGTGTATGCAATAAGTTCTCAAGCTGGCATCAAGAAATTTTTTTTTTTGCAATCTGACACTATTACAGATACAGTTTCAAAGTAATTCTTTTTCAAGGTTTAAAATTAACTTCATCAATGCTATTAATTTTTAAGCATTTCAAAAATCCATGTTAATTTTAGTAGTTACAGAGTATTGTTTAAATACTTGTTACTGACTTGTTACTTGCCACTCTGACCACCCAAAGGGGTGGTGAGACTACCTTGAAGGCGTCTGACCATTTCCTACGGACTCTAATATTTCGGGAAAAAGCTGGATGATCTAGACTTAATAATTCATGTGTAAAATTTAAAACGTTTTCTTTTTCACATTCATATGAGGCAGCTGGTTTTTTTTCTAATAAGAAACCCCCACCGCACTCATTTTTAACTCTTTTTTCTATTCTTCGAGCAATTACAATCTTGAATTAGATAAACCCTTTACCATTAATTCACTCAATATGATTCTTTTTCTTTCTTTCTCCAAGCCATTATAATCATTAATTAAGTAATCCAGGTTTCATAGTGTCCAAGTTTAAATAATTAATTTAACAGTTATTTAACTAACTTTATATACTTCACTTAAATATAATGTTTTTTTTAAATTATTTTATTGTAATGTATTCTACACTAAGCTTTTCGTTTACAACAAGCCTGGTCATGGGGGTTTCTGAGGGGTTCTAAGTGGGATTTAGGAGCAAGGGTTCACACGCATTGCTTCTAGATGGCAGCTGGTTGCTATCGCGTCCTATAGGCATGGGTCCATGAACATTTAGGAGTAAAGGGGTGCTTAATTTAACGCAGGAGCCATGAAAGCCCGCAAGAGACTAGCCACCTTAGATGACCAAACACTTACTTCAGAACCAGGATGTTCAGCAGCGAACTGATCGTCAGGACACGATTCCCAGTAGAACACCGAAGTCAAGCAAGTATTAATTGACTGCAGTCAGTTAGCGGGTGGGTGACCAATTGGATCAGTCTACGAAGGAACAGAGAGTGTGTGGCATTGGTCCTCGTTAAACTGTTCTATCGTAAAGTGCTCGGCTTCGTGCACAGGTCAGCGGGCTACAGAAGAGGTGAAATCCCATCTGCAGAGAATCAAAATTGTGATGGATCTTCGGATAATCCTTAGGGATGTTTCCCAGACCGTCACTTATAGCCCATTGTGCAGTTCTTGTACGACGTAAATAAACTGCAGCTACATCACAGCCATGATTGCACAGAGAATAAATCACTCGGTTGAAGCAAAACTTATGCTACCATTGACTCAAACCGACCATTACAACAAAATAAACAAATAAATAAATTAATTAGCAGTAGTAGACGAATCACGGGACAGAGTCCCTTTGTAATCAGATTAAACATGGAAAGTTTTCGTAGATTTCTGCCACCTGTGACGCAATTACAAATCTTTGGCAACCAGAAAGTCATAAAAAAATCATTAAATTCTATAGTTGTATGAATATTAAATAAATATTGTAATAACTACAAATTAATCAGCTAAATTCATCTCAAGTGTAATTTATTTTAATTGACAAGCTATTTGGAAAATAAACTTTTTTGCTCAGTATTCGAAGGCCAATACTAAATTCTGCATCAAAACTAGATTAATTTTGACAACATCATCGTAAAATTGCTTATTTTATTAAAAAAAAAAGAAACGTGAATTATTTTTAAAAATTAATTAGTGAAGCTGTTTGTTTAAAAAATTCATAGTAATATCTGTCACAAATCCATTATTCAGTCCAGCTTGAAAACTCACTATACACCTCGTAGATAAAACATAATGTAATACATGAATTAAACATGGTTAAATTAGCAAAGAAAAAAACATAATTCAACAATTCATACTACTTCATTAAATTTGAAATAACGATATTATACAACTAGAGCAAAACAGATTAATGTCAAAATATATTTCTCGTTGTAAATGAGACCCAAATTTTATAATTTTTAATTAACAATATATTTTTTTTCTGAACTAAAATATTTAATTTAATTCAATGTTTTATTTGCATAACCAATGGTCCAAGTAAATAAATTAATTAACTTTAAAAGCGGCAATTAGACTATAAATAATTTTTATATACGACAGAAAAGTAGAGATTTCAGATTATTTCTGTAATAATAAAGTTATAAAAGTATTCTGACTCAAAATTTTTTTCATGTTCCTAAATCAATGTTGTTTGAATTTTAAATGTTATCTTGTAATTTATAATTATACAAAATCAATTATTTATGCATCTAACTTCAACAACCAATAATTTCCCTAGTACATAACACAGTGGGGCATAAAGTTTCATAGCTTCAAAAGAAGCCAACAGCACATAAAAATATGAGAAAATTCAAATCTCTTATTTTTAAACGATTAACAGACGCAGGAGTATCATAAAGTTGCAATAATAATACACGAACTAACACACATCAATACAAGAGCAGAACAATTGCGACTCGTGATAAATCAATAAAGTTTTATTAAGCAAAAAGTTATTTTTCCATTGAAAATCAACAAAGCTTAACTATTATTTTTGAAGTTCGTGTACCAAAGTTAGTAAAAATACTCATTCTCAACCTAGTTTATCGATTGTAATTTCAGAATAAATTCTGCCATATAATTCATAAGAATACTTAAGTTTACTAAGCGTCAGTTTGTGAGATGAACGATGAGTCATAAATCCATATCGTTGTTTCTTCAAGAAAAAAACCATCTACGCATAAAAATATGAGAAAATGTAGAAAATGTTACGAAAAAAATTGGCCCACACATGAAATGTTTGAAGTTATAGTAACAACAAATGAAGTATCACAGATCAATACAAAGGAAAAAAAATCGAAATGCGAGATAAAGCAACAAAATCCAATTAAAAATGTTCATGTTAATGTGCATGCTATACGCAAAATAATTTTTTAAGCGTTATCAGTCTCCAAACTTCTCAAAACTGGTCTTCTCCACGCTATATATCGACTTCCACTCAAGAATAAGTGTTGCTTAGTGTTAAAAGGATTGGTACAAAAATTAAGTACATTCACATATTTGTCTCTTTAAGCCAAAACCCAATGACGCTTTAAAACATGAGAAAACACAAAAAAGCCCCAGAAATTGAAAACTTTAATTAACTGGCACATGAAATTTATAAAATTATTCTGAGAATATATGAAACGTAAAGATAAGAAGGAGAATTTAAAATATATTTTTAACTTTTACCTGAAAACACAATAATTTGTAACAACATACTTTAGCTATATTTCTTTTCATTCATCAAATATTGCGTACATAATTTGGTGAAAATGTTCTCATCAAAGCTATTCTATGAATTTTTAACAAATGACGTAACAAGTAATAAACCCGTTAATCAAAGAAATATAATTGAAAAACTTATACAGAAATTAAAAATTTTTGAAATGCGCACTATCAACAGTACTACCACTCATCGTACTCGGAGAATGAGATATCAAAACGCAACAGAAACTACGTTAAAAAACGGCTTTCATCACTATCAGACAATAAAAAAATTTTTTAAATAAAACCAGGGAGTCTGGTAGAAAAAATATGTATTTTCACATAAATTCAAAGCATGGGTCGTTTTTTCTTAATCATAAATGTTTTTCTATTATAAATTTTTGAACACTGTCACAATTAGAACACTCTGTAATTGTGTGAATACGTCCTTAAATAAATGTAAAATAAATATTTTCGCAACGTTTAATTACATCTAAAATATATCTTTAAAAGTATTCGAAAGATAATAATGTTTCATTAACTACAATTTCTTTAAAACATTTCTTGAAATTATCTCATAAAAAAAAGTTTAAATATTGTGATTCGCATGTTTAGTGTAGTAGAAAAGAAAAAAAATATTTTAAGCTATCCGGGGTACAAAAATTTTTGTTAGTTAGATGTTTTTTTTTTTTTTACTTAAAAAAATATGACTGTAATTGTATTGGACAGTATATAAGCATATTTTCGATATTTTGCAATGATTTATCTTCAGGAAATTAAATTTCTCGATTTTAATGTACAAGTTTTTCAGAAAAAAATGCTATTTCTTCTTGAATGCTAATAACAAAATATGCTGACGGTAATTAAAGTATAAGTAATTCAAATTCAATCCGTTTAAAAAATATTTTAAGATTTACGAATTAATATTTTCAATCAGGACAATTAAATTAAAATAATAAATACTTTATTTTTTTAAAAGTTGTAAAACTATGTTCCAGACTCCTTCTGAAAAAAATTATACATTCGATGGAAATATGCTTGCATTTTTTAAAAATCAAATTCTGTTTTGTTCAAAAACTATAATATAATAAAACTATAATAAAACTTTACTTATTAATATTTCTAGTAAGTCATATTAATTAAGAACAGAAAAATGAAAATAGAGTTAAATAGCTTCCATAAAAGATAACGTTATTTTTAAAACTATTTTCACCAATTAAATAGATTCGTGTAAATATTATCACTGTAAATGTTGTAAAAAACTACCATATGTAAATAATTGACATGCGTAGATGAACTAGGTGCGTAGATGCGCACATTGAATGGAGTAATGTTTTGGAGTAGTTGAAAATTAAATAGGTCATTTTTAGATTTTTCGATAAAATAATAATTTTAAAATTTTTTTAAAACCTCTATACATTTTTAGAAGCATATATTGAAAATTCATTACTGAATATGTAATCAGGTTTTAACGAATTCTATTAAAAAATTCGATCTTTCTTAAACAACCGAATAATTAAAGTATTGATCGAGATTTAATTTTATTTTAAGTATACTTTGGATAGAATCCGTAAAGCTAATAAGAACTTAAAATAAAACTTATGTGGCTTAGATGTGAAATATTTAGTGCCAAAGTCTAGAGCTGTAGATTAAGCAGATTTATTATAAGAAAAGTTTAATTAAGTTGGCATTAAAGTTC